AATGTTTATTATTAATATAAGTTTTTTTTTTATTAGCTTTTGTAGAAATAACACCATTATAGTTCAACAGTTAGGGTAGATAGAGCAGTACTAAAAAAAGGTTACACAACTTTACCCATGTAAATATTGAATACAATTTTAATATAATATAAATAGAAAGATCGGTTAATATTTACAGGGGAAATAATTCTTTCATAGGTAATCAAATCATCAGTAGCAATTGATGCAATATTAGAGGTAATGATATAGATAAGAAATAAATTATCGGATACTACATTAATTAATATTTAAATATATTTAGTTGTGAAGACTTAAAAATAAAAATAAATTTATGTGAGTCAATCCTCAATGGAAAATATATTCATAGTAGAACTTATGAATGGTATTACTTGTGTACCTACGACTTACCTAGTATCTAAGTGTGTTCATTATTAATATTAATTGTAAAGATTTAATAATAAAAAAACATTTAAAATTTTTTTTACGTTGGCCGATCCCCAGCTTTGGGTGCATTATATAGCTGCTGGCATATATAAAATTCATTAATTTTATTCTAGAGTAAATTACTATGTAATAAATTTGTGTTTACTGTCAATGCACGATAGGTATTAATGTATTCCTGCAGTACAGGATTGGTGTAGACGATGAAAACGACCGGCTCTCTATAATGAATTATCAGACGGACACCATCTGGGTTAACATTTCTGTGGCACCACCGTCGTCCTGAATAAATAGAATCAACATAATATGTGGACACATAAACAATAGTGTGCAATACACCTGCAGTGTTTCGCACTGGTACAAATACAACGCACAGAATAATATATATGGGCACTCTCTCTGATATAGGTACGAACCGTACTCGTTGTTTAAAAACGATTTAACGACCACACTATAATGATACAATAATTGCACGATACGAGTATACGTATAATACATACACACACACGTATTATATATATACATCTGGAATGGCCATAACACCGTTCCGCACGGATTTCCCATTTTCAGCAGAAATTAATGGGAGATTGCCGAATCCGCTCGTTTTGCCTTTTATTCACTGTACCGCCGCAACAGCAGTTATACCGCTCGTCCACCGACTGATCAAAGGCATCATCGACTCTTTTATACCCAAACAACGACCCTGCACCCATTTCCGGTTTAAACATTATTTCGACAATATATCATTTAAAAGCGGCGTCCATTCTTGTAGTGATGCGAGAGAACAGTTGAACAAGGGTCACTTACAGTTGAAATCAGTTTTTAGATTTCTTCTTCGTCTGTAATCAAGAATGTAAAACATAATTATCGTGAATTTATATTTTATCAATCGATTAAAAAAAAAAAACGTTAAATGAGTCCAACATAAAGCAGCATCGTTGTATCTTTTACTACCGAGTTAATAACGATATTCGATGATAACATGACATTTGAGATTGTAACTAATACCAGTGGTACAATGTACCACAGCACATATTATAAGAAGCTACAGTATACGATGATATAAAAATAAAAATTATTGGAGGCTGGGTCGAGAAGTTATCAACAATTAATGAATCTCTAGACTCTAAAGGCTTGGAATTCTTCAATTCTTATAATTAGTTGTAATAAAGTTTTTTTTATGTAAAGAAACGGTATGTTTAGTAAAACTTTAGATGAGATGATTTTTTTGTCATCAAATATTTTTATCACTTATCAAAAATGAATACTTAGTTAACTTTCTCATTTAAATTAGTTGTCAACCCTTGGTTGTTTATTTCATAGGTTCTAATTTTTCTAGTTTTGATTTAGTACAGAAATATAGGTAGTATCGTACTCCTGTTTGTTTTTTATTTCAACATGTATTGAAAAATGAAATGTTGATTATATTCGCTCAGTAGAGATTCATACATATATAATTTTAAATTATACAGAAGATCAAATATGAGCGATAATGATTATTAATATGATATATTTCTCATGGTTATTACACTTTGAGGAATCGGTCCTCAAGATTCGATTTTTTTTTTATAAAGTTTATTAAGGCTTCAACAACAAAGATTTTTAGCCTACATTTGTTTAAAGAATAAGGACTCGATTTTATAACTATCCCTTTGAGTATTTGTGCTATCATCAGTATAAGTACGAGGGACAGAAAATACGTTTAATGCACAGACGTCAAATCATTAAAATATTAGAGCTTTGCAATTGCACAATAATTTTATTTAAATTTGGTATTAATAAAGTTTTTATCGGGCGTATATATCTAATATTATTGATATCAGTCGATGACAATAATTTATTATTTTTATTAATAGAGATTAAAATATAATATTTGCATCCACGTGGGTACTTAAACGACATTCACGTATAATGTAATAATATTTTTGCGAGCTAGTGAAAAAAAAATAACAGCCTATATACTCTAAACTCGAATGGTTTTATGTTTCCCTGTTGATACAGTGGCGTCAAAATAGGCGGGTCGGGAATGATTTAATACATTTACGTACATACATATATTATATTTTATATAATAATAAAAGTAAAAAGTATACATTCAAATTTCAAGCGCGGTCGAATACGTATAATAATATAACGAGATTCGCTAGCACATTTGTATTTTTAAAACGTTCATTTTTCCGTACATTTCAAAGCGGTAACCTACCTGTGTGCTTATAACGCCACAACGGAATCCTCCTCCGGGATTTCGTATCGTTACGATTAATAATATACAAAACCGTATTTGTTTAATGCGGTCAAACGACATTATATTATTTTAATTTGTAAAAACGTACCTATAGTGGCGGCCATATATATTCCCTAGTGTGTATGAATAGTAAAAAATACATATTTAAGCTTTAGAATAATAATATCCCTAAATGTGTTTTATCATCACGGTAAATAAATTATTATTTTGAACTCTTCGCAATGCCGTTCTGGAGAAAAACACGGAAGATCGATCCGATCGTTTGTGTATAAGTCGGAGGAACGGAGAATAATCTTATCGAGAATATTGCACAGGTTGATTTTTTTTTTATTAAACCAAGACATTCACATTTTATCGAACAATTTTATAGTATTTATATTATTTATAAGCTTTTAAAGTTTTTTTTTCCAAAATAAGTAGAGCGAGTGCGGGGTATTATAATACTGCACGAATTTCGGTCCCACTACTACTCAGCTCATTCGTACTTTAAATGCCTATATAAGGCCATAAATAATATAATAAAGCTGTCCAATATATTCAATATTTATGAATCGTAAAATTTTCAGAAAGATATTCACATTCAGACCATGGAGCAAAAAAATATTTAAAAAACGTGTATATAACCCAAAGATTCTGCACTATAATACGAGGAGAAAAAATTATAGTAACACAATTTCGAAAATACACTTAAAAAGCTTGAGCTCATAAAACCGTTTTATTGCGACCACAATAATTGGTAGGGCGGAAAACGGACGCTAAAAAAAATTATATCCCCTTAGAATGTCGTTCGGAACGACGTGAGTACATGATATCATTATTATTATTATTACTACTATTGTAATATATTGAATGATAATCGCTTGAAACAGTGGTTGTTGTTGTACTGCGTCCGTTATTGATGATGGTCCGCGGTCGGCCGCCCGCGTGTAGAATTATTGTGGAAAACGCCGTCGCGTTGCAGTCTAACCGATATCGACAATCGTTCCGTCGATACGTTTTTCGAATTACTCCGGTGATTTTTTTTTCCACATTTTCCAACCGCCCGAGATTGTCGGGGACGTTATTGATTGACACCGGCGGCCCCGCGATTTGACGCCGTCGATCGGTATACACAGCAACAGCGGTCCGTTGAGGTACATCAAGTCCATCGGCGCGAAATAATACGACCCAAAACGGGGATTCGACTTGTGTGCGTTTGAAATCCAAGGCGGTCTACCCCTCCTCATTACCGGTGGTCGATTGGATTCCGTAGTTGAATAACAGTTGTAATAATAACCGTAAAAAACAAAACAAAACCGAAAGCGCTCGGTGCCTCGGGCAGTGCAGACGGCGAGAACTTTTTCAGTCTTCCGAGCAAATCGTATATATTATAAATATTTTTACCAAATATTACATAACTTATACGATATATTTTACGCCGAGTTTAGAGTTTGTTCTCTGCAACTCACTTTCGTGTAGTATGGGCGTTATATATATAGGCATTATTATTAATTATAATATTTATCATGACTTTTGCTATTTGTGTGGAGGACTTACCATATAAACGGTAAACGATCCACTCATTACAGACACGAAACAACTGCAGAACAATATAGTCCTACTGCAGCATCTTGCCGTCACTGCCCGCTGCTCTTATACCTATTAGGGGTGATATATAGATACAACGAATCAGGTATATTATGATATTATTATTTGTATATTGTTTAAAAAATGTGCGGCAAAAAATGTTTTTTTTTTTTTTGTAATATGTTTTGATGTGTAGCACGATATATTTACCGTTTTAAATTTTTAATATATATGTATATTTGAGTGGGGTCACGCGTGGACGTAAGCACTAGTCCTGCACATTACGCTCAACCCGAGCCCGTTGTACGTGACGGCAGATTTTGAGGGGTCACAGATTTCGACAAGTTTATTGATTTATACCACACTATTATTATTATTATATAATATTATTAGAATTACAAAAGGTGTACATTTTTTTTTTCGTCTCCTCACTTGTCGTGAAAGTTTGACTTGTGTCCGTGTAACGCAGTCATAGATATTATTATGATATTATATTATAATCAAATATTGCAATGTTATGTTTTTTTGTTCTCAAGACGCATTGACAATTTATTGGTGGAAAGTACGACCGCGCTTCACGACGATGACGCACGTCGTATAGTTCGTTTATGATAATATTTAAATATTTTATTCCACGCTCGGGGTTTTCTAATTTACTATCGACGTAGGAGGTCTGTAGTTGCGTAGAGGACGCTCATTCCCTTTATTATACCTCTATCAATTAAACTCATCAGTATGGTTCGAGTGTCGTCTTGACTGCAACAATAACCTTTGCTGCGTTATTCGGTCGATTTTCTTATGTTGTAATAATACATGAATATAATAGGTAAGTACGTGTGTATGATATATTTATAATAATAATTGTGTCCCGTGGAATACGATTTGATGCATTTTTTCCCTTTTCCACACCCTCGTTCCGATTTGCGAGGTCTAACGGCGTTTTAAAAAAAAAATTCTCTTTACGTAATATGATTTTTGTAATGGATATTTGATTTTTTTTCTCTCTCTGATCCTAAGATTGTGTCAGCTCCGGGCAGGCTGCAAAACCTGGCATTCCCGAACTGCACGGGGTTGTTGTCATGACCCAACTATATAGATTCACCCTCGACCCGGGCAGAGAACAATACTATGAAAATGTTGGAACGGTGCAGGTAATAACGATTTTGAGTTTTAATCTCGATTTGTTTGTTTGTTTTTGTGTGTTTGAGTGAAGGTTGAAACAAATTATAGTGCCCACCATAAATAGAATATTTACGTAAATTAACATATTTCACTATTATAATTTTATTCCAGTCATCCGTGGATGTGCACCCTTAATAAGTATAAGTAATAATCTTTTGTAAACGTATTTGATGAATATATTTTTTTTAAATAATTATAATTTTTTGTATCTATTCAAATTCAAAATGGGTAACTCGGATCTTTAAAAATTATATTTGTTTCATTAATTTAAAATCTTTTGAAAAAATTGATAACCTTTTGTGACTTGTGAATTTTTTTTTATTATGTACTAGTTCGTAGTCAATTTATAATTCGTATAACCCAAATAGTTCTCTTATTTAATCATATGGATTAACAAATTAAATAAGCTTGATGTTTTCACAGTCGCTTCATACATTCATAAATTAATATAATATCATGTAGAACACCATGTAATTAGAAAAATATAGTTTAATATTTGCATTTTTGTAAAGAAAATAAATAACAATTTTTTATAAAAATCACTGAGTTCTTACCTTGACAGTAGTTGTCATACTGCTTTTAAGTATGTAATGTTATGTCAAAAAAAAAAAATGTAACTACTACCTACCACCGCTCTAAATCAATAGAGTTGTGTTCTTTTTCATAATAGAAACAAGACCCTATTACCGAACAACGGGCAAAGTTAGAAATATAGATTTTATATTTTTAAATTTAAATGAAGTTACATCTAGCATATATATTCAAACTTAAATTATAAAACTTACAGGACTAAATTTTTAGTAATAAATTACTAACAAAAGGGATAAACTTTAACTTTTTCAAATAATTTGTCATTTTTAATTTAATATAAAAAATAGGCACTTTTAACCCATTAACCGTAATTAGTTAAAAAATAACGAAGTACACGCCTGCAGGTGTTCATTTAGAACAAAATATGCTACAACAATTTAATATTCAACGTAATTATACTATAAATGCATGTTTAATGTATATTTAAAGGCAAGGGTTAAAAGTTTTTAACCCTTTTAGAAAGTTTAAAATACTAACGTAAATTATTTTAAAATTTATTTATTATTTTAAAAATGGTCAACGAATATTAGTATTACAGAATAAAATTTAAATTAATTCTGTCCATAAATTTATTAATTTTCACAATTATGTGTTTTGTATCGGCACGGCAGCACGTGTTCTATATGATTCATTAGCCAAATTTAAATATTAAAATATAGTAAATTTTGGATACTTGTAATCTACAAAGGAAGTAAATATAATAAATGTTCTAAAAAGTAAGTTTCATTACTTTAAATCACGGAAAATACTTAGTGTTATTTTGAAATTTCCATAAACTAAATTTTGTTTTCTTTTTTAATTTGCCCATTGCGAGTTTATCTTCTATGGTATTATTATAACGGCAAACACGGAACAAAAACAAATAACTTTATACAGTTTTAAATCAAACACATAGCTTACGTGAAGTAAATGCTAACATTTATCCGAAATTCCGAAACAACTGGGATATAATATTTCTTTGAAATAGAATCTGATGTTTGATAATGTGTTACGTTATATTCTACATACTATTATATGTTATATTTATAAAACAATTCCCATATCAACGAGTACCGTGGGGAAGTAATTTAGTATAAATATAATAGGGCATGTAAAAACTTTGGTCGGAATTACAACGCATCGGAAGACAGATTAGATGGATCATGACGTGTGGGTGTAGTGCCAACGGTGGAAGAAAAACACGAATAACCTATCGGAGATGACTAGAAGAGTAATATTCACAGCTCTATTTATATTTTGCACAAAATCAAAATGTATAGTTTTTATACACACCCTAAATATATATAGGTATGTATGCGGATGCGATTTGATGTGTTAAGGGTCCAATTTTGATAGCATAAAATCTGACGTAGAAAAAATGCCTTTATGCATTTACATTTATTTAATCAACACAAGTTTCGAACCAAAAATATTTTATATTACATTTAATAAAGTTTTGCCGGATGCAATTTTAAACTGAAAAAAAATTATTTTCATTTAATTTTCCAACGACACTTGTAGTTTACATATTTTTTAAGTCTTACGGAATCATTCGAAAAATTAATAATATTCGATTAGGTAAAAACGTTGCTATTTCTTAGTCACTTTTTTAAGTAAAAATCTTAAAATAAAATTTTCAAAAATCGGATTTTATGTTATAATAAAATTCTCAAATGCTCGAAAGAATGATAAAATTACCTATTTAAATTCAAAATAATTCAAAATTATACGCTCAAAAATTAACTTAACTGATATTGATATAGCACACGAAAATAAGGAATCGGGATTTGAATGATTCGAATGGTTTTGAGTAAGTACGGTGAATGCAAAAGTTAATTGAACATTTACTGCGAATAAACATATAAATCACCCAGGCGTTTTAATTTTCTTAAACAATAACAGAAAAAGTCAAAGTGTGATAAATGTGTATCGTTTTGTATGCCCGACCACGATGAACGATATTATAATATATTATTATATCGTGTTCCGTTTGCCGGAACAATCGTTTTTTTAAGATAAAGGGCGTGAGGCGTGATAACAAAATATCTGTCTTCTATATTTTATAATATTATTATATACGAGCTAACTCAACTGCATTGAATTTAAGAAACGTCTGAGAAAGATAATCAATATGAGAGTCATCAGTATAAACTATATAAACTCCGAATTTGCATGACCTTTTATAATTTGATTCATTACACCCGTCATATAGATTATATTTTTTTCTGAACGTAGAGACTAGAGAGTGTGAAGAACGAGATGCAGTTGCTTTATTCGAGCCACAGCCCGGAAGTACCGATTTTCCACCCGTATAGACTGCAGATTAAACTAAGAGCAATATTTTCTAGAATGTCGAATAATATATAGCGTTTATTCCTTATATTCATAATAATAATAATATATTGGAAGTAGACAAAGTGTATTATTTGACGCGTTAGTCGTCACCGCAGTTTTGAAAACAACTTTTAACAATCATTCTAATTTTATATCACATTATTAGCGTATAAATCCACCGTTACACAAATTCGTGTTTCAAACGGATATTTTTATAAACATTGAGTGGGGAGGACCAGTAAAAAGCATAATGAAAGGCCGAGAAGAGTAATAATATTATTGTTTGATGTGGTTTATTATGGGACTGATGTGGGTTAATATTTGTGCCACTATAAATTACTACAAACTGAGTATCAATAATATCCACTATTTTAACGTTTCCAGTGTCGTTTGTTTTTTAAAACCCCCAAACAATAACGTAATATGGCGAGTCGAAGCGAATTGTTTGTGCGCGTTATCGAATATCGTATCATATATTATTATGACGTACGTTTTCTCGAACGTGGAAAATAATATTATATTTTATGTAACTCGTAATATACGAGCGTGCAGGGTAAAAAAAAATAATATGACGATCGATTGAATAACGTAGGCGATGGCGGGGTGTGCGTTTCGGTGGTGAGCGTCGACGTGATATACTGAAACAATTATTATTATATTATTATTATTACTATTGGTGTATACACCTGCAGCTGTATTTTAATACAGGTGTCAGGTTTTCGATTTTTCCGGTAACCGTCATAGCGGTGGAGGGGTCGTGGTTTGGATACCGCGTCAACGGTCCGAGTGGAAATGCAATTCAGAATATTTTCGACATTCGTCGGCGGCTCTATTGATAGTGCGCAGTGAAATAATTATATAATATAATAATACGGACGAGAAGAAAATATTATTATTATCTTTTTTCTATAAATGGACGACGTCAGTTATACGCGCGTAATATACGTACGGAACCCAACGCAATATTATCGCGATACGTCCTATTGTTGCTCGAAACCCTAGAGTAAAACCATTCGACACAATAGTGCATTGTGCATTGTACTTAGGGGTGTCCCTAAGATTCGTCCCACCCACACACACAACGCACGATAACCCTAAACCCTAATTAAAAAATAACGAAAGGTTAAATCCTCTAACGCGAAATTCACCGCGAGTCGCGAGATTACACTCGAACCGGGCAGGTTTAGGGTTTTTGTGTTTTGTACTTATTCTATAATATATACATATATATATATATAAACATGATATATATGGTATATATGATTTATTTATATATACACGTACTCATAGCATATTATTATAAATGTATAATGTGACTGCCCACTCGTCAGTCATACATATCACCTACGTTCACATACTCTGCAACTTGCAAGCGGGTGTTTTGGCAATCCCCATACATTTTTAGATTTTTTTCTTTCCCCATTATAAATTATCTCGAAAATACTATAGGGCCTAGTCAGTTTATAGGTATAGATTTAATTTTGGTGTTTTTATAATTTATCATACCCATAATGTCCGTACAGCGATAAAACAATCATTGCGAGTAAAATGTTAATTTTTTGATAAAACGTGATGTATTATGTGTTAACAGATATATTATAGATGTAATTTTCAACTTATAATTTTCAAAAAGTAGAAACACTTCCCTCCCCTCAAAAACTTTTTTCCGCTTACGGTTAAATCGGTACATAGAATTGATGACCAGCTGTAGTGGGTGTGAGTGTGGTATACGGTTTTTGATAAAATATAGACTCGATAATCGCAATAAAGAAACCGAGCTGCAAGGGTAGACAATGTGGACGTGTGTAATCATGATAATTATTTAGAAAATAAAAACGCCATTAATCATCGACGCACGTAATAGATCTTTCGGGGACTTGTTATCGTTCTTCACACTTAACCAATTTCTTCTTTTGTTCTCTTACGCCACCCGGCCGAAATGGGAATTTTATTGATGAAAATTGCCAATTTAATGGGGTTTTATTTTCTCTTTAAGAATTATTTTCGTGACAGTGAACGATGATGATAAATTGATTGTTGTGCGTTGCGCTCTATTTACGCGGCTCGTGTAAACATATTTATTTGAAGTCAGTTGTTTTATACAGCCGATTATCGATAAATAAAGGAATACAATAACTGTACGTTTCAAACTCTATATTATTATTATGGTCCCTGATGTCTTGCTTATACGTATTCGGATTAGTGAAAAGTTTTCAGCTTAAAGTTCAGCCGGGTATAAAATTTAAAAAAAAAATGTATAGGATATCGAGGAAATAGTCCAACAATGGATTGTAATGACTTATCTTTTAACTATAAAAATATTGTGTTAAGAGACCGCGTCCAAATCCCAGGATAAATAGGATTAGACTGGCCAAAAAAAATATGATCCAACATATTTACTGATGGGAGCAATGTTCGAGCGTAATAAAAAAAATAAACCATAGAAAATCGAAAGGCGGAATGATAGGTTGGTCGTAGAGGATAAAAGAAGTTGAGGAAATGCCAGGAATAGGAAAAATACCAGAGGATAAATTTACAGAAATATTTGTGAGCAATCCAAAAAATGTTCTCTCCACGGGGTCGTTATTTATCGTAATGGTACACTTCATTGTGTACATTATAATATATTGTATCAAGTATTACGAGTACATTAAACTTCTATCTTAATTATATTATTTTGCTTTAAATGCATTTACTTTTAAGCGTTTTTTTAAATCATATTTTCGTTAATTCATAATCTACTTAATTTATCTGTTCAATTAATAAATAATAATTAAATAAATCCACGACTCTTTAATGCTGGTAAGCGTGAATAAATTAATTTGATTGAGATGAAATTCAAATAAAAAATTATTATATTTACTTAATTATAACGTATTTTACAAATTTATTTATCTTAGGGTATGTACGTTTTTAGATCACTGTTTAACAAAGTATGACTGAGGGACAATTTTATCTTAGTCTCTTCTGCAAGTACGCAAAGCGAGCATGTTGTATAATACGAAAAATGTGGGCCGCTGTCTCAGGTTTCTGTAATTATGATAAACTGTTACATAATGTTATAAAATAAAACATTGAACACAACCTAAAAATAAAATGTATTTTTTTATTTATCATTACAGGTTTTTTCAAAAATTATTTTCAACCAAAACAAACATACAACAACATTTACATAATAGTTATCAGTGTTCATTATAAGAAATCGTCCATGCTCGAGGATAGAGTCGTGTCAGTGTCTTCGGCCGAAGATATGGAACCGGGATAACGTCCTGGTCCCGAAAGTTTACATCACAGTTCAATGGTTTCTGGGCCTTTCCACGTTACTCCCAATCGCACCATATTGTAGAACTTTATCACGCTTAATAGACTCAACACCTGCTCGAAAAAAGAAATTCATATTTATGTAGGTATTTAATATGTAGGTATCAAATATGTAGGTGGGTAATATATATATATGTCAATTGAAAACTCAAGTTTAAACAAAAACGATTTTTCGTCAAAGTGGATTTTATTTTTACAATTGTGAGCATCATTTTATCGCATCTACGAATAAAATAGCGTATAAATTAAAAAATATTTGTCTGTATTATTTGGAGCACAATATTTATAGCATTTGTAAAATTCGTATGACAGTTTAATGCCACGTTCAATATTATAACAGGTTACCGTTTTGGTATATTTTATTTAAATATAATAAATGTATGGTTTTGTATTATATTTTTCAGTCACTTGTTTCGGAAAATCATCGATGGAGCAATACCTACATAATTACATTATTGGGCAACTGATTTGATGTGACGAAATTGATTGAAATTAAACCAAGAATTAGCGATTTGTAGTTTTCGTAAATATTTTAAGAATCTTCAGTCATTAACATTTAATTATTTTCGTTAACTTGATAAAAATGAAGAGACTCAGTGAAACTTTTATCGACCAATATGGCTTATTAAATAAACGATACATTTTTTATGAACATTTTTGCAAACGATATTACATCAATTTATTAGATAGCTTCGTCAGTCGATAGTGACAACACCAAGAACAATGATCCCTTAAACGAATAATATTTTATCCCTAGCTGTCAATAAAGTATTATGCATATTTTTGTCGAACCGTTGATAATATTTTATTTTGGCGTTGTTCATGACCTGGCATATTAAATCGAACACTGGAGGTAAAAGGGTCTGTCTGTGTGTGCATAGTGTGTAGGTACGTGTGTATCAGTGAGCAAAAGCTACATAAATCCCCCAGGCAAAGGCTCTGTTGAGAGTAAAGGATTTCACTACGTGTTTATTAAAACGAGTCACCCTAACTACGAAATTTTTTGTTGACACACAAATTAAAGCGAAGAAGTCAAGTTGATTTATTGTGTCGACCAAAAATGTTGTAAAACAAAAAAAAAATTAAAAGTTTTTGGTTGGTGAGAGGGGTTTTTTTTGAACAAAAACTGTAATTAGTTTTTAATTCTTTTATGTTTTGAGAGAATTTCCCGATGATTATCGAAACTCAAAGTACCAAAGACATTTAATTATAACGTAGACACTCAGTCTGTAGCTATCCCATATATTTTCTCACTGCAGGCGTCAGTCACCGAATGTCCGCCAGTGCGATTTCAGCCTCGACGGCTTCTGCTTTTCGGCTACTATATGTTCATGTATAATAAGGTATGTGATAGATAATATCTTTAACGCCTCAAACACGAATGAAAAGGCTGACACACAGTCGGCAGTATCAGTGTAGAGCAACGTATATATATATTAGAGTTTTAGCATTACCCTTTTATCCAGTCTGATTTATAAAGCCCGTAATCTCGGAGATGGTATATATATTAAGGTTCCACACACACACACACACACACACACACACACACACACACACACACACACACCACACACCCATGACTTTGCATCGTGTAACTGTGGAAAACATTTCGATAAATATCTTGTTACAGATTTTCATTAACGAAAATTCTGGTGTGTATTGTGTAGAGATTGCATAAACATTGCTGAAGGTGTGTAATGACGAAAAACCTTAAATACAACACCAGGTCAATGCGGGTAATGGAAAAAGTTATATATGGCTTTGGTTTTGTTATATTATGAATTCGATTTGAGTTAAAAAAAAACAACGTTTCGATTTTCAATGTGTTATTTTCGTCATGTTGGTGGTATGTTTTTTTATAAGTACTAGATTTCTACACTGTCAATAGAGAAGCCTCGAGTATGTTTGTACTGTACGATTTTGTAATCACGTAATACAAATTGATCCCACTCGATTTTGTGGTTAACTTTTAAATGCTCTTTTTTATCACAGATAGGTAAAATGTTTGTGTGCATATTTATTTGAGACTTACGTATAATATGGAATTGTACCTCAAAACACTTTAAATAATTATCGAACAATTTTACTATGGTTCCTTAACAGATAATAAATTAGTCGTATTATTAATGTGCTCGTATTCATAATTAGATGAAAACAAATAAACTCGGTTTTTGTTATTAACCCATAATATTATTCTTTGCACATTTAAGTTATAAAAAACAAAAATATATTATTCAAATGGCCTTTATTTTTTGACTTTAAATATTAAAGATATGTATTTTAGTATTCATGCTTTCGGTAAAAACTATTTTACTGACGTTTAAATTATTTGAAGAATCATTCTTTTGGTATTCAGCAATAATAACGTTCTTTTGTGAAGGTATATTTATCAAATTTAAGTAGGAAAATTTTTGTTGACATGCAAACCGAGTACAGCTTTCGTATATTTTCTCGTTCAATATATTACTTAGTTCACGCTTTGTCATAATTTTCGAACAATAAACTATAAAGCCTACACTGTTGTTGCGTAACTGAAATACAGCTTCCATTTGTATATGTCTGAATAATCGAACAAAATTTGTATATATAAAAAAAAAACAAAACAATGAGGTATTACCAATAACTTTTAGCATCCTCGTTTTGTATATATACGAAGAATAAAACGTCGTACACAAAAATGCACTTGAAGGTAAAATAAAAACTTGTCTAATTACACGGGGGATAATAATGAGAAAAAAACAAACGATTTCGTAGAACTTAAAATAATCCACGAAATCCTTTCCATTTTCCGACCCCACTTGCGATTTTGAAAAGCAGCGTTCTGTGTCTTACGACGAGAAGTATTTAATTAACGACGTACATATACTTTTTTTCTCCTTCTATAGCAAAACTTTGTTATTGTTTTACCAAATGGGATTAATGCGCGCTGTTTACGTTATTCAATGTAGGCCAAGAGATGCCAACGAAATTTTCCTTGCACGTACAAGTTCGTTAAGGAAACAATTCCTGCCGGATCGTAACGACTGAATTGTGGTTAAAAACCGTTGTAATTGTGCACATGACTCAACGAAAAGGTCATATATGTACCTATTATTATTATTATTATTATTATTATTATTATAAACTAATGAGCCAATACTGAAATGCGAATGATGAAGATGGTCGTAGATTACTAAATACTATGATTTTATACAGAATGTAGGTATTGTATGGAATAATAAACTTATGATAGAAAAGAACCGGTAAAAAATTGGTGCAATTGAGAAAATAATAATAAAACAATAGAGAGACCTCGTTGACGGCATGCACTCTGTAGTGAGTCAAATCTATTGACGTACGCATAAAAAAAACTAGTTATCTATATTGTGTGTTAAATTTTAATACTGAAAACAAAAAAATTTAAAATCCGAAAAATATATCTTTTAAAGAATTCAAAATACCAATTTGTAAATCTGGATTCTAGAAAACTTATGGTTTTAAAAACATTTATCTAAGTCAAATGGTATATATCTTATGATTTTTAAAATGTCAACATTTTTTGATGCACCTGACTCATTAATATGAAAAGTAATAACTTTTTTTTTTTTAAAAAAATGCTGAGTTTTTAACAAGTACTTATTTAAAAATACTCATAAAATATTTTTAAACATTTTAAACTCAACTCTGAATTTAAATTGTTTTTTACGGCTGGATATACTTTACTTATCAAAAATAATGAGATTTCTAAAAATTGTGAAACAAAACTATGTGCCTTTAATAAATGTTTCTGCAATCAAAGTTTTCTAATATACAAATTTACAAGTTGGAAATTTGGAATTTTGAATTTAAATCAGGTTTTAATTTGTTATTTTTACTAATTTCAAAATATTATTTGTCGATTGAATGTAATCATTGAATGTATATTATTATATCTTATGCACACAATGACAGTTTAAAATTCGATGTTTCCACCAAAAATTAATTCAACCTACTGTATTAGTATAACTATTATAGTATTTAATTAAATAACTTTCATAGCTACATAAATACATCATGTATTATGATAGAGGCTGACAGCCCGTCTTCCCTCTGAATCGTTTTTTGTAGATATGCAATGATATGATATCATTGAATTACAATTGAATACATCCATTACAGCGTCCCACACGACACCTATCAGCAGTAGATATCATACATTCATACCCACTTGATATGATATATGATATCGTTTTTGTTTAAGCTACAAGAAATATACCCTAGTACAAATAATAAATGTACCTAGTGAAATATTATTAGATATTGTTCTACACTCAAGTGAAATCTCGTACCTTAGAGAAAGGGTACTTATCCTTAAGAACATAAGAGAAGAGAGTAAAATAATAAATATAATACAAATAACAACAACAAGAAAACCAAAACATTCTTACATTTAAATAGAATAAAAGTAGATAATAAAGTAAAAAAAAAAAATAATATAGTTAGAGTTATTTAGTAAACATAATAAATTGATAGCCACTTAGAATAATCGTTGTCCTCGCCCTCATTTTTATACTCGATTTCAATAATTTAGGTATGTATAACACGTGCTTAAGAGGGGTGGGGGTGTCACATCCTCCCTAAATACACCCCCTACCCACCCCCTCGTATAATACGCCGCTGCAGTGCGTGGCGAGTTTCTGTGTGCCGATTAGAGATTTAGACGGTTTGATTAATAGCAGAGTCTGGCGTAGACGTCATGATGTTTGCCACCGCCGCCGCCGCCGTTTAACTCGAATAACGGACAAGTTAAAATCTGAGGCATTTTAATCGACTACATACGCACAATATTATAATAATATTTGCGCCTTTTGTTTGTCGCGCGATTTCCTTGCACACTCTGCGATATTATATTTAATATTATGTGCCGCAATTCTCACTCGATTCACCGTCGATTAGTGCACCGGATATTTATACAGCAAGCCTCGTCGTTTATTACATGAGTGTGCGTCGTGCACACACACATGCCCACAGAATATTATATTATACAGTATACACCATCGCCACCGTTCATTTCGTCACCACATTGTTTCTACTAA